TACAGTGATCTCCTTCGCCGAGAAGGAAACGGCAGGAATCGATAGACCCCACAACGATCCGTTGGTGATTGAGTTAACAATCAGGGATCATGACGTAGCAAGGGTGCTCATCGATACTGGAAGCTCGGTGAACGTCATCTTCAGAGAGACGCTCAGAAGAAGGGGAATCGACCTCTCTGAGGTGGAAGCAATCCCCAAACCGCTAACCGGATTTTTAGGAGAAACGACGATGACTATGGGAACGATCAGGCTCCCTGTGGTAGTTGGCGGTCCCCTCCACCTATCATCTCTGTCTCAAGTTCCCGACTCCAACGGGTGTCAAAACGATCTGGGGGAATCAGAAGGAGTCACGAATGTGCTGCCTAGCAGAGCACAAGCTGAGGAACCCCGTCACCGACGCACGAACAGACATAGATCGCAAAAAGATGAAGACGGACCGAGAGCCTGCGAACGAGCTCTCAAAACTCTTATAGCAATTACAGATCGAGGAGAGCCACGAAACGCGTGCTGAGCCGGTATGTGACGCAGTAGACTCAGTGTGCATAGACGAAGCGCGTCCAGAGCGATGCGTCGAAATCGGAGCAAAACTTGAAGAACCTATGAGAAGGGAACTTCTTTCTCTCCTCAAAGAGAACATCAACACTTTTGCCTGGACAGCGGAGGACATGCCGGTCATAAGCATCGACATAACCTGTCACGAGCTGAACGTGGACCCAACTTTCAAACCAATCAAGCAAAAAAGAAGGAAGCTCGGACCCGAACGAGTTAAAGCGGTTAACGACGAAGTGGAAAGATTGCTCAAAGTAGGGTCGATCGCCGAGGCCAAGTATCCAGACTGGCTCGCGAATCCAGTAGTTGTGAAGAAAAAGAACGGCAAGTGGCGGGTCTGTGTAGATTTCACCGACCTCAACAAGGTATGTCCAAAAGACAGTTTCCCTCTGCCGCATATCGACCGGCTTGTCGAAGCCATTGCGGGAAATAGGCTGTTAACATTTATGGACGCGTTCTCCGGCTACAATCAGATCATGATGCATCCTGATGATTGGGAAAAAACGGCATTCATAACTGATCGCAGGATATACTGCTACAAAGTCATGCCGTTCGGGCTCAAGAACGCAGGAGCAACACATCAACGGCTCGTCAATAAAATGTTCGCAGCTCAGCTTGGAAAAACCTTGGAGGTATACATCGACGATATGTTAGTCAAATCACTCAAGGAGGAAGACCACGTTGCGCATCTACGGGAATGCTTCTGAGCAATTGAACAAGCACAACATGAAATTAAATTCGGCGAAGTGCAGATTTGCGGTCACCTCGGGAGAATTCCTCGGCTATCTGGTAACTCACCGAGGCATAGAAGCAAACCCCAAGCAGATTAAGGCATTAATCGAGATGCCCTCTCCGAGGACGAAGCGCGAAGTGCAAAGGCTCAAGAAGGGTCACCGCGCTAAACAGGTTTATCTCCCGTTCCACCGACAAGTGCCTGCCTTTCTACGACACCCTTCAGAGAAATAAGAAATTCGAGTGGGACGAGCGATGCGAAGCAGGTTTCCAAGAGTTGAAGAATTATCTGGCGAGCCCACCAATCTTAGCAAAACCAGTCGAAGGAAAGCCGCTCTTCCTCTACATCGCCGTATCTGCTACAGCTGTGAGTGGAGTGCTTATCAGAGAAGAACGATCCGAGCAAAAACCCATTTTTTACATCAGCCAGATACGGACCGACGCCGAGACCCGCTACCCCCAGATCGAGAAGGTCGCCCTAGCCGTCATAGTCTCGGCTCGCAAACTGCGCCCGTATTTTCAATCACATTCGATTGTTGTGCTCGCTACACTTCCGCTGCGCTCGATCCTACAAAGCCCGAGCCAATCCGGTCGGCTCGCCAAGTGGGCCATAGAGCTGAGCGAATACGACATCGAGTATCGGAACAGGTCGTCTGCAAAGTCACAGGTGCTCGCAGATTTTCTCATCGAACTTCCAGCCGAAGCAAAGAACGAGCCGACCCCAGACGAATTGTGGACGCTCCACGTCGACGGCTCGTCATCTAAGCACGGTTCAGGAATAGGAATCCGCCTCACCTCTCCCACAAGAGAGATAATGGAGCAGTCGTTTCGCCTAAACTTCCACGCCTCGAACAACGAAGCAGAATATGAAGCACTGATCGCCGGTATACGACTAGCGCAGGGAATCGGAGTTCGAAAGATAAGAACCTTTTGCGGTTCACAGCTCGTAGCATGCCAGTTCAACGGAGAGTACGAGGCGAAGGACGGACGAATGGGAGCTTACCTCAGGGTGGTCCGAGAGTTGGTGCAGAAGTTCGACGAGTTCGAGCTCACACGAATTCCCCAAGGAAAAAACACCTCGGCCGATGCCTTGGCAGCCCTCGCTTTGACCTCAGACCCAGACCTCCGACGGAAGATTCCAGTCGAGTTCATCGAACGTCCTAGCATCGAAGAGGTAGAAGGAGTTCGGCTAATAAATCCTCCCGAATAAGAAACAGAAGACGAAGCCATTCCTATGGACGAAGACGCCTTACCAGCCGAGCCGGAGTACGGCTGCGACAAAGAATGGCTCGGAGCTATCCGAGTGTATATCGCCGATGGAGAAGTGCCAACCGACAAGTGGGAAGCCTGCAAATTAAAAGCTCAGGCCGCGCGGTATGTCCTCGTCGACGGCGAGGTATTTAAATGGAGATTTTCGGGACCTCTCATGACATGCGTCGAAGGGCCGGAGGCAAGAAAGATCATGCACAAAGTGCACAGCGGCGCGAGCGGAAACCATTCCAGCAGAAGGTCGCTCGCTATCAAGATAAAACGGCACAGTTACTTCTGGCCTACGATGGTCAAGGACTGCGAAAAATTTACGGCGAAGTGCGAGAAGTGCCAACGGCACGCTCCAACAATTCATCAACCCACCGAGCTGCTCTCATCAATTTCGTCACCTTACCGGTTTATGAGATGGTTGATGGATATTGTCGGACCTCTGCATCGATCGAAGCAGAAGCGCTTTCTGCTCGTCCTCACGGATTATTTTTCCAAGTGGGTCGAGGCCGATTCCTACGCAAGCATAAAGGATGTTCAAGTCGAACACTTCGTCTGGAAAAATATCATCTGCAGACACGGGGTCTCCTATGAGATAGTCACCGACAACGGATCCCAGTTCATCTCGACGCGTTTTGAAGCCTTCTGCGAGAAGTGGAAAATCCGTCTAAGCAAATCTACGCCAAGATACCCTCAAGGGAACGGACAAGCTGAAGCAGCCAACGCCAAGAAAGGGTGATGGGCAGACAAACTCGAAGGAGGCCTTTGGTCGCATCGAACGACCCCGAGCCACCGGAGAAACTCCATTCGCTTTGGTCTACGGAGCGGAATGCGTAATTCCCCCCGAGGTGGACTTCCCAGGTATTCGACGAAGACTTCTACCAGGACAGGAGGGCTTAAACCACTTAATGATGCTAGATGAGCTCGATCTAATCAACGAAAGGCGCGACCAGGCTTTAGTCCGAAAACATTCGTAGTCGAAGATTCAAAGGAGAGCTCGTCCTTCGAAAGGTTTTCCAAAACATTGCCGAGAAGAACGCATAAAAGCTCAGAGCAAACTGGGAAGGTCCTTACAAGATTACAAAAGTAGTTCACCCAGGAGTCTACGAACTCGCAACGCTAGCTGACGAAGCGATTCCAAGATCATGGAAGGCAATGCATCTCAAAAAGTATTATCACTAAAGGTACAGCACGGTCAACATGAACTACGGGACGGCTTGATCCCTGCAAAGGGTATGTAGGCAGCCCGTCCTCGGACGGGTTCAGCTGTCCCCCCTCCTAAAAAGGGGGGGGGAGTGGATACGTATACACATACCTTCTTTAACTCTACTATTTTAGCTCGCCCATTTAGAAACATCGCCACGTCGGCCCATTTTCAGTTCGTTTTAAATCATCTACTTATTTCATGTTCACCTCGGATTTTTAAATTCTTTCACTCATCACTTCGGCGAGTAATCATACCACTTCGACATGATATCATGACTTGATCGCCTCGGACCTTTATTTGTCCTCAGTTTCAGTTCGGCAAACTAAGCCTCCGAACGCCTCGTCTCGTTGCTGGCCACAATGGGGCAACAAATACAAAGTTCTCTAAACGGACTTTTACCACCTTTCCTAAGACGAGGGTGCAAGTTACATCCTCTATGGATAAAAATTAAAGCGCGCTATACAAATATCAGACCAAAAACATATCGGTCGCCACGGTTCACTATCGCACACGAGTTATAAGTCGAGACTACATCCCTTTCTCTAAAACCAAAGTGAACTCGTAGAACCCGGCAAAACACACTCATCCTCTTGGAAATGCCGGACTATAGTCAAATTCAACGAGACTACCAAATCATCCTTGGTTAGCAAAAACAAAACGCCCCGTCGTTTACACGGCTCGGCACCATGCAAAGAAAAAACGCCTCGTCGTTTACACGGCTTGGCACCATGCAAAGAAAAAAAATGCCTCGTCGTTTACACGGCTTGGCACTTGCAAAGAAAAAACGCATCGTCGTTAAACACGGCTCGGCATCGCCAACAAGAGTTGCTTTGATATTATCGCTTGACACTTTTTAGCGTCACCTGAAACGAAAGACGCTCCACAAACCAACTCTTGGCTCGGGATTTAGAACTTAAACGAGATCCTTAACAACTCACCCCCTAGCCCGTATTTCTATCGGTTTCGAAGAGCTCGGCTAAGGAAGCAATCGAGATCATTCTCGACTCGATAAGCCAGTCAGTGACAAATCTTTTCTAAGTAAACAGTTTTCATAGACATTTTCACCGATCGTCAAAGATAAGTGCATCAAATCCGAAAACGGTGAAGGAAAAGAGAATACAACCATAAGCAAGAATAAGAGTCAGGTGGATAAAGCCATCCAGGCACCGGTTACACAAAAAGTTCAAAAAGCAAATCATCCAAAAGCCTAAGTACAAAAATATACACGACGAAGGGTAAGGGAAATCAGAGAGTATCAGGCCACGGACTGCGTCTCGCGCTCGGCAAGGAGGTTCGAGAGAGCCGGTGTCCCCACGTTCGATCCGGTCGGATCAACGACACCCAGGTTGGCCGCTGTCTCTTCGAGCGGCTCGTTGCCAATGCTGGTGTCTACCGAGTCCGGCGATACGGGAGAGAAAACCAGCTCGCCTCGAATCTCGGAGGCAATGCGCTCATACGCCTCATCGTCAGGGTACTCGCTCTCCCAGCTCTTCAGCTTCGCCTCCTCGTCATCGAGCGTTGGGGCGTCCGGCTTCTTCAGGTCGGCAATCATCGCAAGATTGCCCTTGATCTGCCCCAGATCGTTCTCATCATTTTTGGCCAATTTTTCATTAGTTTCGAAATCAAACTAAGAAAATCTCGAGCTTGGCCAAACCTTCCTCTACTTTGGCGAGGCGCTCTTGAAACTTAGCCGTAAGCTCTCGCCCCGGCTCCTTTTTCGCTCGCTTGACCTTGGCGTCAAACAAGGCGTCCTTGGCTTCGATACGCCTCTTGAGCATCGCCACCTCGGCGCTTTTGGCTCTCCTTGCCTCCTCAAGGCGAATGACCGAGGCGGAGACCTTGTCAATATTGGTGCGCAGAACAATCTTCTCCTCTTCCAGCCTGGACGCCCTGGCCATCGCCTCGTCTAGTTTCCCCTTTGCCGCCGCGGCTTCGTTCTGAGCCTCGTCCAGCTTCACCTTTGACGCCGCGGTCTCATTCCGGGCCTCGTCCAAGCGACGTTCGACCTTAGACAGGTCCGCCTCGTACTCAGCCATCAGCTCGTTGATGGCCGCTACAAACTGCAAGGACTAATGCACATTAAACACTTAGCAATTCGTGAAAATAAAGGAAAGCATATAGATTATACCTTGGTACCGCGCTGTGATATGTTCATAATTTGCATCATTTAGATTGCATAATTCACTCCAAATCATGTTTTATTCCATGCATTTTAGGTCCTTAGGGTCTTGTTTTAGAACTTAGGAGATGCATTAGGTCCCAATGAGTCTTTGCATGTTTTGAGTGTTTATCAGGTCTATTTGGAGCTGAAAAGATGAATCCAGGAGGTGGAATGGTGATCAAGACTTGAAAAATGGTGAACTTGTGTTTTTGGAGGTTATCGGCCATTCTCGCTGACCAGGAAAGTTTTTACCGGCCATTTTCATGTACCGCGGATAGACATTACCGGCCAAAACGCGTACCGCGAGTGGATTGTATCGGCCAAAATATCCGGGTGCAGACACGTTTCCGAAATCTCCTGTCCGGGGAACCTTCCGGTCCGATTCAGATGTCGGGTGCTTCATAGAAGTTGGAAAGGATTGGATCACGGGTTCATAGCAAGTGGAATCATGGAATTCGGACGCGTGAGCAGAGAGTTAAGCTCGTCGGAAGAAACCCCTGTCTCGCTCCTGTTTTAGACCGAGCCGATAAGCTCTGAAGAATGCGAAGGACGGTGCACTTCCAGGCCGATTCAGTTTCCGGAGCCTTCATGAGAATCAGTGAAATTTGAATCCTCTTTCCAGAACATCCGAGATCTTTCAATTCGGAGGTATGAGCAGGACGATACGGTCTCCGGAATGGACACATGTATAGACGGCTCTCTCTGATCGTGTAAATGCATTGCAAAGATGAGCCCTCCAGGAAGACTTCCACTTCCCAAGCACCGAAGCTTCCTTTAACAAAGTTGGATATAAATGAGTCATCTGTCTTCTGCAACCGGAATCACTCAATTCGGACAAGTTTCGTGGAAGTTACACTCTCCGGAATGCAAAGTGGTCCAGACAGCCCAGAATGACTAAGTTAAACATGCCGCGATGGAATGCCACGGTCCACACTTGGCCGTGGCAACTTTGCACACCCTCGGTGAACGACACGATCTCCATGCCACGGTCTACATTTGACCGTGGCAAACAAACACTTAGCTGGGAAGAAGTTTGCAAACCTTCGGCGATTGACACGGCCTGAATGCCACGGTCTAGGACTTGACCGTGGCAACTTCTGCAAACCTTCGGCGATTGGCACGAGCTTCATGACACGGTCTAAATTTGACCGTGGCAAACAGAAGATGGTTGGGGGCAAATTTTACATGCATTCGGGTTTTGACACGGTGTGAATGCCACGGTCTGGAGCTTGGCCGTGGCAATCAAATACTTGTCTGGGAAGGATTTTACATGCATGCGGTTTTTGACACGGTCTGAATGCCACAGTCTGGGGCTTGACCGTGGCAACTTTTGCACATCTTCGGCGTTTGACACGGTGACTTGCCACGGGATTCGGACGAGGTTTGATCAGACCGTGGCAATCAAAAGGCGACCAAGAACACAAGAGAAAGCTTTGACACGGTTAGGTTGCCACGGTCACACCAAGAACACATCAGACCGTGGCAAACCCATCTTCACCCATCAAGGCCGGGTCAGTACCCGGTTTGTTCCGGGTTGACCCGGTCCGCCCAAGACTCCTATATATTGTTTTTAGACCTAATTTGGAGAACACCTTTTATCTACTTTTAGTTTCTTTTCCTCTTTGGTGAAAAACCACTTGATACACTTTGTTTTTAGAGCTTAATATCGATTTGGAGTTTCTTTTCATCTTGTTCCATCATTTCTTATCATCAAATCACACTTCTAATCATGATACAACACATCTTGCAAAGGATCTAGTGTGTTGATCATGATTAGTGAGTAATCCCATATTAAGGTCTTAGATATGTAGATTAGGGTGCTTAAGTGGTAGATTAGTGAGCTTAGGGGTTAGATCATGCATATTCCATTCTCTTCAACTTGTTCTCTATGCTAGATCCATACAAATCATATGTGGTCTAGATTCTGGGCATTTCATGCACCAAAAGTGTTTGATGAAATGCCTGAACCAAAGTTGTTAGAGGTTTAAGTGTTATTCATCATGGGAATGATTGCTTATATGCTTAAATGACAGATTAAACTGATTCTTAATGCTTTAACTCATGTTTCACTGATGATGATTGGGTTAGAAACTGTTTTAGCATAGGAGTTAATACCTTCATGAGAGGATTAACTTAATTAAAGATGTTTATGTTGAATGGCTTGCTTGATCATATGATTCATTAGCTCATTAGTTTATCACTGAAGGCACCCTAATCCACTATCATGTCTAAGACCTTTCTCATCATCATTCATACAATCTCATCATTTGTCATTGTTTAGTTCTTGTTTAAGCATTTCATTAGTCTTTAATCCTGTTTAAGTTTGTAGTTGTCTCTAGATAATCAAAACCCACTCTTGTTTGCTTGAATTAAGAACCTGATCACATAGTTTAGTGTCTAACACCACATCTGGATTGATAAACCTCTTTGTGGTACTTTGACAAAGGGATTGATAGCCCTGAGACCCTAAAAAGTCTTGTCTATCAATTGGCGCCGTTGCCAAATTGTGGTTTGTTTAGCATTAAGCTCTGATCTGTTCTTGAGATCAAGTGCTTTCTTTTTTGTTTTTACTGATTACTTTCAAGTTCTGTTTGTGATTTCAGGTGTATGAACACCAGGTCTAGATCAAGAAGCTGTGGTCCACCTTTCCCTCTCAACGATAATATCAATCTTTTGGTACCAAGGAGGAGAAGGGACAGACGTGGTAGAGAAGTTGATCAGGCTGACATGGAAGAACAAAGAGATCACGTGGTAGACATAGAACAACCAGTACATGAGCAACAGGCTCAAGGAAATGGAGCTGGTAATGGAGTTGGTCAAGGGCTGAATCAGGGTACTGTTCATCACGAACAGGTGCAACATCAACAAGCTTATGTCCACCAGGGACAAGCTCAAGCTCATCAACAGAGGCATCAGGCCAATGTTCAGCAAAGACAACAAGTGCACCACCAACCCCACCCTTTCCAACAACAGCAAAGAAGATATGAGCAACCCCAAGTCTATGTTGGAGAGAATGACAGGGCCAATGCTCATCAGTATGGAGCTGGTATTCAGGCACCACCTGTGCAAAAAAACAACTTTGAAGTGAAGGCATCATTGCTGAATATGGTCCAGAACTCAAAGTTCCATGGGTTAGCAATGGAAGATCCCTTGGAACACTTGGACCAGTTTGATAAGGTTTGTGATCTGACCAAGATTAATGGAGTTTCAGAAGACAGCTTTAAGCTAAGACTATTCCCATTCAGTCTTGGTGATAAAGCTCATCAATGGGAGAAGAATCTTCCAAGAGGCTCCATTCAAACCTGGGAGCAATGCAAGCAAGCCTTCTTATCTAAGTTCTTCTCCACCTCAAGAACTGCAAAACTGAGGAACCAAATCTCTAGCTTCACTCAGCACAGCAATGAGAGTTTTGGTGAAGCATATGAGAGATTCAGGAGCTACACAAACCAATGCCCACACCATGGGTTTAGTGAGGCTTCTCTTCTCAGCACACTTAATAAAGGAGCTCTTCCCAAGATTAGAAACCAGCTGGATACTGCCTCCAATGGGAACTTTCTGGGTAAAGAGATACATGCTGCTTTAGAGCTAGTGGAGAACTTAGCATTGAGCAATGATACTTATGGTGAAGACTATGACAGATCAAATAGGTCTGAAGGTTCAAGCTCAGAACAGAGGCTCACCAGAGAAGTTAAGGAGTTGAGAAGTGAATTAGACAAGTTGAAGTTGGTAACTCACAAGCCAATGCATTTTGTTGGAGAGTATGAGGAACCATCTCAAATCTTTGAGAACATAAGTGAAGAAGGTCTTACCCAAGAGGAGCTTAACTACATTGGGAATCAGAGGTTCCAGAGATATCAGTATGGTAATGCCAATCCAAACCTCTCCTACAGGAACACCAATGTAGCTAACCCACAAGACCAGGTGTATCCCAATTCTCAAGCTCCACAGAACTTTGTTCCCAAGAACAACTTTCAAGGATCTTTTCAACCAAAGAATCAGTTTGCTCAGAATCAAGGTTTTGGGCAGCAACAGCAACCATTTCAGGGTCCTAGTTTCAGTACACAGCAGCAGAAGGCACCACCAGGGTTTGGTCCTCCACAGTTCCAACAGCAAGCGCCTGTTCAACAACAATATCAGCCACCAACGGTTCGACAACAGCCACAGATGGGTTCAGATATGGTTGGTATTCTGCAACAACTACTTCAGGGTCAACAGATCTTTGCAAGCCAGAATGCAGCCATGCAACAAGAAATCAAGGAACTGAAGCAAAACCAGGCATCAAGCTCAAGGAACCAAGGTCACCTACCTGGAAAACCAGAACCGAACCCCAAAGGATATGCCAAGGCCATTACACTGAGGAGTGGAAAAGAGTTACCTGGTATTGAGAACAACAAAGTGATCATTGAGGACAATGATCAAACTGAGGGGGAGGCAGCCTTAAAAGATGATCAAGTTGCTGAGAAACCCAGGACAGAAAAGGGTAAAGAGGTAGCAAAGGAACCAGAACCAGAAAAGAAATATGTGTCACCACCTCCATACCAACCAAAGCTCCCATTTCCAGGGAGATTCAAGAAGCAACTAGTGGACAAGGCAAGAGCTGTATTTGAGAAGGCACTCAATGAGACACCACTCACTATGCCTCTCATTGATGCATTCTTAATGATGCCAAAGATGGGGAAGTTCTTGAAGGATGCCATTCTGAACAAGACAAAAGAGCTTCAAGGCATGGTAGTACTAAGTCATGAATGCAGTGCTATCATTCAGAAGAAGTCCATTCCAAGGAAGTTAACTGATCCAGAGAGTTTCACACTCCCTTGTGCCATTGGACCTCTTCTATTCTCAGGATGTCTTTGTGATCTAGGAGCATCAGTCAGCTTGATGCCATTCTCCATAGCAAAGAAACTGGGCTTTAGAGTCTTCAAACCTGCAAGGATTTCTCTTATCCTTGCAGATAGATCAGTTAGATTGCCTGTTGGTAT